CCGAGGAAGTAGTGCAACGGGCCGAGGTCCTTAATGGCGAACTCGGCGCTGAGGCGAGCAGTATGCTGACGAAGTAGCTCGGGCGAGGAAGCCGTCAGTATGATGTCATCGACGTAGAGGAGCAGGTAAGCGGTTGCCGGGGCCTAGTGGAAGACAAACAGCGAGGTGTCGGAGCGAGTAGCTCGGAACCCAAGCTGCTGCAAGAAACCGGCGATCCGCTGGTACCAGACGCGAGGGACCTGCTTCAAACCGTACAAAGAGTGGGAAAGCAGGCACACATGATTAGGCTGAGCCGCGTCGACGAAGCCGGTTGGCTGCTGACAGAACACCTGCTCTGAAAGATGGCCATGCAAGAATGCATTCGACACATCCATCTGATGCACCGACCAGGTGCGAGAGACCGCGAGCTAAAGGACCGCGCGAATCGTGCCCGGTTTGACAACCGGGGCGAACGTGTTGATGAAGTCGACTCCGGCGCGTTGCCGAACTCTGTGGACCACCCACCGAGCCTTATAGAGCTCGAGAGACCCGTCAGGACGAGTCTTATACCGGAATACCCACTTGCCAGAGATGACGTTGGCATGGGGTGGCTGTGGGACGAGCTGCCAAGTGCGGTTGCGCACTAGCGCATCGAACTCCTCCTGCATCGCCGCAAGCCAATGCGGGTCGCGAAGGGCGGCACGAGAGGACGACGAGAGTGGTGATGCCACAGACGTCGAGGCAGCGAGAAGGTACTCGTCCGCAGAATAACGGTTGCTGGGCCAGTGAATGCCGGCGCGAGCACGCGTGACCATGTGGGTTTCCGGGGCGGCCGGCGGGGCCGGTATGGTCGGCGGGTCCGGCGGGTCCGGCGACGAAGCCGGCGAAGAGGCCGTCGAGGAGCCGGGGCCGGGCGCTAGAGAAGCGCTCGCTGCCCGAGCTACGGACTCAACGGGAGTCGGTGGCGCCGTGGCCGCCGGCGAGGAGTCCGGGTCGGTCACCGCGGACCCAGAGCGCGGCCCAGGTGCAGCCGGGGCGCCGAAGCCAGGAGGGGGCCCGTGCGCTGCAGGTGGCCCGAAGCCGGGAGGAGGCCCAAGCGTGAGGGAGCGGCCGCCGCGAGAAGCGCCAGGAGGCGCGGGTGATGATGACGAGTCAGCCGGTGGCGGTACCTGGTGAAAAGAAAAAGACCTCTCATTAAAGTAAATGTGTCGTGAAGTGAAGACTCGGTGGGAAACCGGATCATAGCAGCGGTAGCCTTTGGTGTTTGATGGGTGTCCGAGAAAAATGCATGCCACGGAGCGAGGTGCAAGTTTGTGAGGAGTGGTGGAGGCGATGCTAGGATAACAAAGACACCCAAAAACACGAAGGTCATCATACGAGGGCGGGCTACCGAAGAGGAGATGATGAGGTGCATAGTTTCCACGAGCACGAGTTGGACGGACGTTTATGAGGAGAGAGGCGGTGGAGAGAGCATCCGGCCAAAACCGGGGAGGGACATTGGCGTGGAAGAGAAGGGTACGCACACAATCATTGATGGTGCGAAGGATCCGTTCGGCGCGACCATTTTGTTGCAAGGTATACGGGCAAGTGAGACGAAGAATCGTGTCGTGTGTGGCGAGGAGGGTGCGAACCCCGACGTTATCGAACTCCTTCCCGTTGTCAGTCTGCAAGGCATGGATGGGACGCCCAAACTGTGTAGCGACATAGGAGTAAAAGGTGGTAAGAACGGAGAGTGCATCGGATTTTCTCACGCAACGGGAAGGTCCACACATAGTGCGAAAAATCATCAAGTATAACAAGATAGTATAAAAAACCAGTATTACTGGCAACAGGAGATGTCCACAAATCATTATGAATCAACTCAAATGGATACGATGCCACCGATGAGGACGTGCTAAACGGAAGACGAACGTGCTTGCCGAGACAACAAGCATGACAAGTATGATCATCGATTTTATTACACGTGAATGAAAAAATCCTAAGAATATGACGAAGGGTGGCTGGATTCGGATGTCCCAACCGAGCATGCCAAAGGTCCACCGTGGCGGAGAGAGCGACCGGAGTGGATGTGGAAGTGGCGGTGGAGTTCACCGGGTAGAGGCCATCCGGGCTGTCACATCGGTGGAGCACCATCCGGGTACGGGCGTCCTTAATAGAAAAACCCACTTCGTCAAACTCAACAGCTATAGGATTTTCACGTACATGTAAGAGAACGAACGGAACAAAGATTAGTGACTAACTCCGGTAAAACTAAGACATTAGACATATGAATAGATGTAGAGTTAGACGGAAAAGAGGTATGACCGACATGAGTAATAGGAAGGGAAGACCCGTCCCCAACAGTAATACGACATGCGGTGGAAACTGGGGATACGGAGTTGAGGTTACCGGGGTTGGAAGTCATGTGGGTGGTAGCCCCGGAGTCCATATACCAGTCGCCGCCTCTGGTGTACGTGTTGGGTGTAGGGGCGGAGTGGAGCGCCGCAAGGAGGGTCGGGTCCCATGGGGCCGGCGGGAGTGCGGCGGCCGTGGCTGAAGGGGCGGCGTAGCCACCCGGGTTAGCGTAGCCACCCGGGGCGGCGTAGCCGCCAGGCGCGGTGTACGGAGGAGCCGCGACGGGGTAGCCGCCCGGGGCGGCGAGGAGCACCTGATGCACACCGGGGTGGGGGCCGAGGATCCCGGCCGGGACGGGGGCCCGCGGCACGGGCATCATGTACGCGTGGACCACCACCGTCCAAGGGTTCGTCGCGGTGGCCCAGGGGGCCGGGGGCAGCTGCTGCTGCTCCGGCTGGCGGGGCGCTCCCCGCGCCGTGCGGCTGCTGCTGCTTCTTGCCGCGGTGCTCCCCGCGGCGACGATCGGGGGCAGTGGGTGGCGGCTGGTAGACGGGCGCCGGGGCGCCTGGAAGTAGGACGCCGGCGTTGGCGGCTGAGGTCGCAGCGGCTGCTGCGCTTTGGGGGAGCGGTGCGGGAGGTGCCCGCCGCGAGGGCCGTGTGCGTGGCCCGGTACTTCACCATCTTCATCCTCCTCTACTCCAACCGAAGATAAGCCACGACCCGAGGGAAAGTCGGGTCTGGGAGGAACGTGAGGTTGGAGGCCGTGTTGCCAAACTCCTCGTTCAGGCCGGCGGTGAGTGTGCTAAGAAGGAGGTCGTCAGAGACCCACTTCCCGAGGTCGCGGAGTTCGTCAGCGAGTTTCTTGAGACGCATGCAATAATCGTCAATGGATGAGTCAAGCTGATGGCACCCAAAAAATTCCTGCTGAAGAAAGACGCGGCGCTGGAGGGCGTTGTCGAGGAAGAGCCCGTTCAGCTTCGCCCACACCATCTGCGCGTCGTCAGTGTCGCAAACAATTGTGTGGAAGATGTCCTTGGAGATGGTTTGGTACAGCCAGTGAGTGATGGTGGCATCGATGGTCAGCCAGTTGTCGTCCGCGTACATGAGACCGGAGTCAACGGAGCCATCAACGTGATAGATGAGGTGGTACTTGCGGAAGACGAGGGAGAAGTAGGTTTTCCAGGCGTAATATGTGGTGGTGGCGTAGTCGAGCACGACGGGGACGCGAGCGAAGATGTCCAGATCACGGACGACCTCCACGGGAAGAGGGGCCAGACCCTCGAAACGGTTGGAGGGGAGGGAGGCGGCGGAGTGGGGAGAGGCCATGGGTGGCGCGGCAACCGAGGGAAGGGGTGGCGGCGCAGGGAGAGGGGCGGCTCGGGAGGGAGGGAGGTGGATTGGGAGGAAGGGAGGTGGATCGGGAGAGAGGGAGGCGCGCGCGGCGGCGGGAGAAGGTGCGGCGGCGGCGTGGATGGATAGCGGCGGCGGCGGCGGCGAGGGGCTGCGGCGGCGGCGGCTAGGGGTTAGATAGAAAAAAAATTGATACCATGTGAGAGGCAATGCAACTCTCGATGTATTGATTGGGTGCACGGTGCACGTCTATATAGGTACAAGGACAGTTCTCAGCCTCATCTATACAAAGAAACTAGAGGCGGGGCCGATAGGAAATTATTCTAACAAATACATGTACAGATATGTTCAACAAAATTCATCTCATCCACGGCAGGAAATATGGAGTTATTTTTTTAGCAGAGGACAACTGCGGAGTTGGTTGGCTGGCCGCCGCCGTCTGGCCCTGGCATCGGCAGGAAGGATCTGGCCTTGGAAACGAGATTAGGCAAAGGATTGGGGACAAGTTGGGGGACGCAACGGGGATTTTTTTTCATGTGTATAGCAGAGCTGTTGTATTTGTATATATCCACTTGATTCACCATTTATTAAAAATGGATAAATCTCTGGCGAAGGGGCTCTATACTCGGCATAGCCTCGTTGGACGGCGATTCCAATGGCATCACCCATGAGTGTGGGCTCACCATCTCCATACTGCATGCATTATGGTCTAGCGCATGGGCATGAACAGAGGCAACGTGCTGTACACCTTGAACGCAAGCAAGGTGCAACCCAAGGTGATGCTTGTGGCACGTCATACACATAACAAGCACACAATATGTAAAAGCATCCTGCAATGGCTCCTTGTAGCATTACATATGTTTTCAATTTCACAAACAGAACATTTGGTCCTCACAAAAATATGCAAAATTTCGAGAATATTTTAAATTAATTTGGATTTTGATCTATTGAAATTCCCTTAATTTAACTAACTTCAATTAAGCTTTAATTTTCTTTGGTGTTAGTTTAAATCTAGCTTGAATTTTTAGAGTTGTCATCGAAGTTTCACTGAAATTTTGAACCTTAGGGGAAGAGCCTTAGCTCGACCTTTGCTCAGCGTTTTTTTTAAGTGTGTATGTGCCGTCAATAACCTTTATTTGTGGCTTGATCAACATATTACTGTTAAAACGCAATACAGATTAGTATTTGAGGAACTTATTATTATACCCAGTTGTAGTGGAAAGAACTCTCCTAGTATTAATATACAACAACAACATAACACAACCCATGACTCATGCATATATTTTTGGAGGCGACTGATAAATACATAAATTGCAAGACCACAGATCGTCTACGCCTCATCGTCTTTTCAGTGATAGAGTAATGACAGAGTACTTGGTCTTCTCCTTGACAAGATGCAAGGCGACATTATATGCAAACTTCTTGAAGAGCTCATCGAGCACGGATTCTCCAAAATGGCTTGTAAACAGGGGCTCCATCACTGCTCTCAAGCAGTTTGCGACGTTAATCCCACTCTGGACACTGTCGTGTACATAATTGCCCTCCGAGTCATCATAAGGATCCCAATTGGTCTCGAACAGTTTGATGTTAGTCAATTCAAACTGCTGGCTCTGGTCGACCACTGCCTTAACTTCATCCGTCGATGGCCCATACACAGGTAGATTAAAGGAGTCCAGCTTTTCTTTCTCCATGAGGCCCTGTCGTGATTAGTATGCATTAATGAAAATTTAGTTTCCTCAAATAATTATTAGAAGTATGGTATATCCTTGCGTACCTCCTCAACAAGAGATTGTACAGACTGTGAAAGTAACCCATATAAACGGTTGAGACTTGCGCTGTAGACATCATCGTGTTTCCTCCCAAGAAATGTGAGAACCATTTGTCCATTGGCAACTAGTTCTTCATGGCGCAGCTGGAGGAACAACAACATGTCCTTCTGAAACTGCTCTTTGTACATTTTCACCACACAGGGTGGGGTAGTCGCTCCAATGCCGATGTTTCCTTCATTGGGATATGATCTTTTCTTGCCCTCTAATCCATCAGGAAGCTGTGTATAACATGTAGCCTTTTTTCAGACATTCTGATACACATTGATATATTTTGGGCTGTCTACTTAGCTCCGTCAATTCAGCAAATTCTCACTATTAAATGGACCGATGTGGATGATTATATAAATAAAGTTATGCAAGTAAGCTGTGTGTTGTTGGTGCTAGTACCCGAGATCGCCAATGCAGGCAGTATGATGAGTGAAAGAGATGAACACTCCGGCGAGGCAAAAGTCTTGTATAGTAGGAGCTGGGCAACCCAGCGATGTAGAAAGCAGGTATTGGCTCTCCCTTGTGATCCATATCAATCGAGTTCTTGAATCGTTGAAGTGATTGGAAGACATGGTTGAAGTCGTTGCCTGGTAAATCGTTGAGAAAGAACTGAAGCTCAGTGGGATGGCGACTGAATTTCTCAAGGTGGTGGCTGACCGCTTCGATCACATTGGAGACAAAGAAGAGTGTGTTGTCACTTGAAGAGCAGCCTAAGTCAACAATTGTCAGTGTTGGATGGAGGAGATCCACGCACATTTCCATCACAATCTTCTGGAGAACCGGCTTAGTCTCAACCAAAGCTTTTTCCTAAGATGAATGGAAGGGAAATCTTTATAAACTGCTGATGTAGAATCTACCCAGCGAATTAGGAGTAGAACGGCAGGTATGTCAAGGTTGTAGGCAATACCAATTGTGGATGCTAAAAGGATTGTATCGAACCTGAAGTCTTGAGTTCTTGAAGTAGCTGGTCTCTTCTTCTCCTTTGGTCATATGGAGGTCATGTTCCATCTTCATGGCTACTAAGAAAGTAAGAAGTAAGAACTCGAGGCACAAGTTGATTTTTCTGCTTTGTGTACGAGAGAACTGAAGAATGCACGGGTCAGTGTCATATAACCTTGTTGAATATATAGGGAGAGCATGAGTGATATTTGCTGAAGGTCCCTCTTTCTTCAGTATTTCACATAGATCTTTCTACTTCTTACATTATTTCCCTATATGCATACAGTACAGTTGTTAGAGCGTCCCCAAGGCCCATTCCCCATTTTCCTACCATGTTTATCCATCAAATTTTTCCATATAGGAATTTCTGGACAAATGTACCATGGTACCCAAGGGGGATACACCATTTCTCCACCTCAAATCTACATACATTTCTCCACCTCAAATGTCCATACATTTCATCGAACAATTGATGTGCGGAGCTGCGGCAGCGGCCTGGAGAAGCTGCGGCACACGTTCACATCAACCATGACGAGAAATTGTC